CTTTTGTGGCTCTCACAAATGCTCTTTCAGAGTAACGCACTTAACCTTAATATTATAAATCGAAAGCCTTATGTATTACTCACTACTTGAGCAGATGATTTGCCAATATACCGCCGGTGAGTACGCCAAATAAGTGGAAGAATTGCGTTACCGATACCAGTATGTCACGCGAGCACACTAAATCATATTGCGTCACTACCGAATGATATTCGGCCCTATGCTCGAACTGCTGGCATGGGATGATATTCGAATTGCGCGAAGTCGGCTCCTCCCATACGCGCGGTTCCAGTTCGGGCTGTTCATAGCGATAATAGTGATGCGCATGCTCTTGTGCATCCTGGTATATATTACAAAAGTCTATAGTAAATTCCTGATCGTCAACCTCCTCCTTCTGCGGATGTGACACCTTTATCCAGAGTGTTTCGTTGCGGGCACCCACCGTATTCGGTGGCTTGCAAAAGAATTCACCATGACGCGGTGCGGGTGCTGTAAAAATAATGCAAGCCATAAACCATGATGATGGGATCTTACAGAGAAATATCAGTAAAACAGCGCGCAATTGCCAGCGTCCCCATTCGCCGGTTATGCGTCCAACGGCATCGACTTTGGTCTTCATTTTCGTGCTTTGTGGCGGACGTTCGCCCTCGAGGCTGGAGAAGAAGTCTTTCGGGTATAAGTTGTACTGGTGTGTGTGCGTTGGTGTTGCGTTTTGTGTATATTGATAGTTGCTGTACAATGCCGCTGAGGTGGGTGTGGAATAGTTATTATTGTTCGGTTCACTGTAGATATCGTCCGTATCCTCCGTACTGTACTCGTTATCATCCAAATCTATAATACTCTCCTCCGTTTGGCCGCTACCATCAAGTGTTGTCGATGTGGTGGTGGTTATCGTCACCGTATTGCCATCAAATAGCTGCAAAGATGCTACTGAACTACGACGTCGACATTCGCTGGCCGGTGTGCCGTAAATGCTCGGCCCAGATGAAGTGGGCGACGCTGAGCTGGGCACAAGCGTGCTGAGATAACGTTTGTTTGTTGTTGACGTTTGTTCGCTGGGATTGTGATTGTGGGTGTGGCTTTGATGAAACGGTGAGCTTGCGGTGGTATCGACGGCTGTGTAATTGTGTGGGTGTGCTTTCGCTGATATGTGATTAGGTATGGCGTTATTGTTAGTGTTAATGTTATTGTTGTTGTTGTTGTTATTAATATTATTATTTGCTTCCGACGGCTTGTTGTTATCTTTGTTGCTGCTGGGCAACAACGGCGATTCGGCCTGGAAGGAAAATAAAACGGGACAAGTTTAAATTTGTGTGAAATTGAATAGGCAAAAAGGAATTATTTGCTTTCATAATAGCTTTAGGAGGAACACCTACATAAATATTTGTGGCAAATAGAAATGTAAGGCCGCTTGAAGATTTAAAAATTTAGTTGTGCAACGTTTTTCATTTTAATAAATTTGATGTTCGTGCACGCACCAAATGTAAAGTTTTATCCAATAAAGAAAAACAACCATTACATGTAACATGGATGCTCATACAATATTTAGCTTAACTTGACTATGTTCTTTTTAGCAAATTTTTCTGCGAAACTTTTTAAGCGCCTGTGTCAGCCTATTCTCGCTAAGAATATTTTCAAAACTTCAGAAGAGTTCATTGAATTATTTCAAAAGAGACCAAACCTTTGTCGTGCCAACCGTATCTAAAATCTGTTGCATGACACGCACGGCCATTTATTTAAAAATTACAAACAGAGAAAACGTGCATGCAATATTCTTGAAAATCTGCTGTGCTAACTTTTAGGCGTCTGCCCACGTAAAATATTGTATATGATTCGAAAAAAAACGAAAAAGACTAATTAGATGTTATTACCTTAATATAGAAAAGCCCAAACTCATATAGTCGCTGAAATGCAAAAAAGTCGTAACTGACTAAAATTTGTAATTGCTTAAAATGTTCCGGGGACTTATAATAAATGAAATGCATCATAATCAATCAAAAAGGGAATTTTGGATTTTTACTTAATTACGGCTTTTTGTATTTCAGCGACGATGTGAGATAGGGCCTTTCTATATTAAGGTAACGATATGGAATAGGAAAAGCATAAATCGTTACCTAAAGGTGAAATAGTGGTTCGCATTATCTGTAATTTTGGATCAAAAACTAAATAAAGCAGTTGCTTGTTTTTTACGGCCTGAATCCCAATGTAGGTGGACAAAGTCCGGAAAATCGAACTCACTAAATGCTTTTTTTCCCCATTTTTAAGTTTAACTATATCTCGCGCACCTGTTTTTCTATGATTTAGTCAGTAAAATAATTTAATATGGCGGTATCAATGCTTAAAGGGTCACACTCACTAACAGTTGATGTTGCCCTGAAGATCATAGCTTTACTTGATAGTGGCCTATAAATAATGATATATTAACCATTCCTATATCGTTTAATAGCCTGATTAACACATTTTAAGATAGTGTAAACAAGTTTATTCTATTTCCAATGCTTATATCTAAACACCGCCCCGATAGTTTGGTAATTGCAAATTTGTATACACCCAGAAAAAGGTTTAGTTATAACAACCAAGATTTGGTTATAGTGATCAAGTGGCATAGTTGGATATGGCGAAATAAATATATAGTTCACGAATGTCTGCAATTTACTTAAGACTTCTAGTTGGGACAAATGTATATTTGTTAATAATTACAAAATGACTACCTTGATTGTACAATGTTGTTAGTTGAATAAAATCATTGTTGAGCAAATATAAACAATGCTTTGGTTGATACAAGTTTTCAATTAATTTTGTGAACTTGCTGTAGACTTGAATCAGCTAACCGTTTATTATTGGAAAAAAAGTTTCAGTTTGACACAAATAAAAATTTTCTCGATGTTTGTTGTGTTTACTCTCTTCTTTTATTTGCATATATTAAGCATAAAAAATACGTACATATTTACATAAGTTAGTTAATAATAATAATAGATTGGCGCTTACACATACATATGTTAGTGTTTGGCCGAGCTTATCCTCCGACACAAAGCGGAGGGACCTACAGTCTTACGTCGACTCCGAACGGCGATTGTATTTTTATGAGAGGCTGTTTTTCATGGAAGAAATACACTCGGAGGTTTGCCATTGCCTGCCTAGGGACATAAGTTAGTTACTAAAGTAAATAATACATGTCGTCCCGTTTCTGCCTTAACCACGTATCTACAATTTTTGGGAAAACTAATATTACCACTTATAATAGCGGTTTAAGCGTCACACTATTTGAAAATAGAACAAAGACTTAATGAGGGTGCTCACTACTCTTAGTGGAACCAGAAATATTAAGTAAAAAATGCGTTTATAATATCCTAGGGGAAGAAATTAAGAATTTTTTCTTACACTCCCTAAAATACCTCTACTGCAGATACGAGGTTAAGGCGGAAACGGGACGATTTGTATATGGTGGTAAGAATTTCCTAAAAAACAACGATGAAACAGGAACAGTCGTGCGAAAACCCAGGTCAATATCTGCTGGAAATATACTGCTTTGCTTTTTCCTTGGCTAAATAGACATTTTCAAATTATAATTCACATGAATTATATATCCACTGAAAAACCCCGGTTGGCATCAAACTTTATATTTTTAAATAACTATGCGCGCACCGAAATAACTCGCCATGTCATAGCACAAACTTTTCTTTCTCTACCTATCGCAGCGATCGACATGCCATAGCTTACTGAGCGCTCTGCGACCACATGCGTGTTTCACCCATATACGAACAGCGGTAGAGGAGCAATGATTTCCACGCACAACCCTGCAGTTTTTCTGGTGGCGATTTCTACTCAAGGACTAGTGATTTAACTAACACAATATCTCTACCTACTTCTCAAGGGCATAAGTAATGCATAAAAGCGACAGTGATGCCAGACATTCTCTGTTAAAAATCCCACGAAAATGGGGAAAAAATCCCTCAATTACCCACATCTTGAAAATTTATCCCACAAAATTCCCAACGAACTTAAACATACCCATGTTTCAGTAGTAAAGAAGTAAAATTCATATAAAATAATAATAATAGTTTGGCGCTTACACATATGTGCTTTTCCTCCAAATTGTGGCGGTCCTCTTGATGTTGTCACACAAAGGGGAGGGGCCTACAGTTTTACGTCGACTCCGAATGGCAAGTGTATTTTTATGAGAAGCTGTTTTTCATGGCAGGAATACACTCGGAGGTTTGCCATTGCCTGCCGAGGGCCGACCGCTGTTAAGAAAAAACCCCTTTTTCTGCATTTTTTTCACTCATTCAGTTTTTCACTTTAATTTTTTTGCTCACTCACTAAGGGCCTAAAAGAATTTTTTGGTGACTTTAAAATTGAAGCACATTCATGTGCTATTTAAATTTCATCAGATAATTTGTTCCGCTTTTTACATGAAATACCACTTACAACTGAAAAGATTCTTTCTTACTCAGCGCTTGAATTGGTTAACGTAAGAAAATTTTCGAAATTGGCCTTATACTTTTTAACAATTATATACCATTTCACTCCACATCACATCTTCAGAACGATTAATTACGTAAGAATGTCGAATATTCTTGAATTTTGATCAATTATGCATATGAATTTTGATCCCTTATTTATATGAAATGTCCCTTTTTTCCCTTTTAATAATTTTTGATGCAAAATATCCCTCAAAGAGGGAAATTACCCACAATCTGGCATCACTGAAAAGCGATAGTTAAATTATTTTCGGTATGCTACTGCTGCTTTTTGTTTGTATCTGGCGCCACTTGCTTGTGTTTTTTGTCTGTTGGTAGAAAGTGTGCCATGGAAAACGAGATTATCCCGTTATTTCTAATTTTTTATATACTCATTTTTTCTGATCTACTTCTACGCAGTTGATTTGTCGTGGTTGCAAGCGTCGGTTCAATTGTTGCGTGCAAAAATAATTAAAGTGGGTAAATGAGTAAATATAACTAAAATAAACTAAAGTTGTAATAATTTTACTATAATAAGTTAAAATGAGTAGCAAAAGGCATTTGAGAAGATTGATAAAAGCTGAAAAGGAAAAGTACTTAGAAAAATTGCTGTCCGTGGGAAAAGAAAGTGCTAACAGTTCAGAGATAAGTGAAATGGAAACAGAATTAGAAGAGGCGTTAGTACAAATTGAATTAGTTAACGATAATGTGCGTGAATATGAAAACTTAGGAGTTTTAAGTTTAAACGACAAATTAAAGGGGTGGTACTCTGAACATAAACCAACGCGGAGATGTGCAAAAGATTTGGTTAGGATTCTCAAGGAGGACAATTTGAACGTTTCAATGTTTTATAAATTCGATTGCTCAATTAAACCAGAAATATATTCTGTAGCTGGGGGATCATACCTTCATGTAGGATTGACCCAACAACTTAATAAAATATCTAGCGTTGTCCAGCTGCCTGACAATTTGGTTATAGATATAAACATAGACGGCCTTCCTTTATTTAGGAGCTCAAGAGCTCAGTTGTGGCCCATCCTAGTACGAGTAAACAATTTAAAAAATCAGCCCGTATTTCCTATAGGAGTGTTTATTGGTAATAGCAAACCACAAAGTTGTGATGAATACTTACAAAAATTTATATTTGAGTTCACGAATTTAAAAGAAAATGGGTTGCAACAGTCAGGGAGAAAAATTAAAATTGATATTAGGGCAGTGATTTGCGATGCTCCGGCAAGGGCGTTTGTTACTGGCACACCCTCGCATACATCCCGATACGGTTGCACAAAGTGCACCCAAGTAGGAAAAAAGATTGATAACACATTAACCTACAGCTCAACATCAGGTGTTTTAATAACAGACGAGGACTTCGCAAGTACAAAATATCCCGACCATCATGTAAACTCTTATAAAGCAAGAAAGTCACCATTCGAAATCCTTGGCGTATTAATGGTCAAGCAGATTCCCTTAGACTGTATGCATTTGGTGGACTTGGGTGTCATGCGAAAATTTTTGTTAAGAATTATTAATAATAAAGTGTCTTTTAATATTTCAAATTCGAACAAAACAAATATGTCTGATAAGTTGATATCAATGCGTAAATATATTCCGAATGAGTTCGCTCGTAAGCCTAGAGCTTTAAATGAAATTTTAAATTGGAAAGCCACCGAGTTCAGGCAGTTTTTGTTGTATACGGGTGTGATTTCTCTAAAGAATGAACTGCATGATGACATATATTTTGAGTTCTTGCTGCTGCATTGTTCATACAGACTTCTATGTTGCTCGAAGCAGTGTAAACAAAATTTGGAATCTTCACAGACTATGCTTAACCTTTTTGTGCAAAACTTTCAGATTTTATCCGGACAAAACAGTGTTTCTTATAACGTCCATAATTTGCTACACCTCAGAGAAACTATTGAACATGTTGATAATCCGACAGAAGGTTCATCCTACGCTTTTGAAAACTACTTGCAAGCTCTAAAAAAATCTGTTAAAAAACCAACATTGATTCTACAGCAAATATACAGAAAAATTGTTGAAGAAAAGGCTTCATTTCCCCCTTATGAACGCGAGCCTAAAATATTAGGTAAAAAGGATGAATCTTGCAGTTTTCAGGGATTAAAGCTTAGCTCCAAAACTCCAGATAACTATTGTTATATAAAAAATAACATTCCTTTTCTAGTTCATTCATTTAGCCGCGACCAAGGCGGCAAAATTATAGGGCGACGATTAAAAAACATTCAAAACTTTTATAACGAGCCAATTGGTTCAATGGCTATAGGAATATGTGTAGCAGATAGTGAGCCTTCTGATATAAATGAGTCGTTTTTACTTAAAGATGTAGAATCTAAAGGAATTGTTTTTCCCTACAATAATAATTTAATAATAATGCCTATGCTGTACTGCTACTCATAATTTTGTTTAATAATATAATAGTAAAATAACAAATAAAATAACTATCTTTTATAAACTACCAATGAATTTCCACACGCAGCACAAAAGTTTAAAAAATGGCTGGCCTACCTAAAAAAATAAAACGCATTGCACTGCAGCCCGACAATAATTGTAAGTTTGATTGCCCGCAATTTAAACTGTCACTTCGAATAATAAATTTCGTATATTACACTGACCTACATACGAAATTTATTTTTCTGTCGAAAAAATATTTACAGTCACGGAAAAAAAATTACAAAGTTATATTTTCAGATTCCATTCCTATTAATGAAAATTGCAACGGATCAGCAGAAACACAGCTTAGAAAAGCAATCCAATTGCAGAAAAAGCGGCATTTTAAAAAGCTTGCAAACACTCGCACCGAATAATTTACATATGTATATGTAAAAGTAAAACGCTTATAAAAGTGAATTTATAAATTTATTTTATTTTTATTAATTTATTTTACATAATTTTTCCGATATACAGTGCCGGACAAAAGTTTTGGCACAGAGAATTTTTCGTAATATATGTAAAGTTTTTCATTCTAATTTATTTTCGAAAATTGTTTATAAAAATACAGTTCGTACTTCACCAAAAAACATAAAAACCAAATCTCTAAACTTTGTGCAAAACTCTGGAAAATTCAATTTTTCTAAAAAATCTGAATAGAAAGTTGCAAATTAGTATGAAAATTTATAAAATTTTCCTGAGTTTTGCACAAAGTTTAGAGATTTGGTTTTTATGTTTTTTGGTGAAGTACGAACTGTATTTTTATAAAAAATTTTCGAAAATAAATTAGAATGAAAAACTTTGCATATATTGCGAAAAATTCTCTGTGCGAAAACTTTAGTCCGGCACTGTATATAAAACTATGGAGTTCATATATATTAAAAATGTAATCAAAACCAAAAAAAAAAAAAATACCACTTAACATGTGAAATGTATTTAATTTTTTTTAAGACTGAATAGAAATAATTTAACTTGATTTAAAAAAACAGAAAACTGGTTTTAATGATTTGCTTCAGTAGTGAAATTCTTTGCTCCTATGGACTAGCGAATTCTTTTGCTTTCTGTGGCTATGAAATTAGATAACCTTCTGATGCACGCGAAATATATGGTATTTTGGGGTAAGCGAAATAGCTAGTGCAGAGTAATGCAAAGGGGAGACAATTGACCCCTTCGTAGGACATGTCCACGTTAAATTCGCCAGTTGAATACATTTAAAGGAGATTGGCGCGGAACTAGTGGTGGTTCTTGGGGGCCAGTATTATCGCTAGTACGGAACTAGCTCCGGTGAACTGCAGGGAATGCATGATTCAATAATACAAGGTTAGATAATTATTGACAGCTGCGGTTTGACACTCCCTTACAAAAGGTTGCCTTTACGAAGGACGGAGAAAAGGGAAGGAATGAAATCTCTTGGTGCGAAAATGGTAGTAGAAAAGTACGCAAAGTAGGCAATTAGTAGTGAAATTCCTTTTGTAAATTCTAATGTATTTGCAGGAAATCTGGCATTTTAAACGAAATGTTGAACGTAATATTGATGTATCTATGTGAATTACGTAATTTATGTGCTATTTAGCTGTATACAAACTGCAAAATGACTCAAAATTAAAATAAGACTACCATGAGATTGATGTAAACATCCAATTTAAAAAATAATTATGTTTTCATCAGTTAAATATGCTTCATATGCATATACAAATAAACATATTGCACAAACGCTCATACTTCTATTTCAAACCAAAGCTACACTGTTTCCATGTAAATGTGCAAAGAAGCAACACGGTGCCACTGCTAAGGGAGCGGTGCGAGAGAGACAACTGTCAGTTTATCGAACCTTGTATTATTGAATCATGGCACAATGCAATGGTCGACATCAGTGTTGCTATTTTAGCCGTTTTCCGGCTAGATTTAGCCGGTTGCGATAGCAAACAGCCGGAAAAATTTCGATTTAGCCGGCAGCCGTTTTCCAGAAAAAAATTAGCCGTTTTTAGCCGATTTTGCTATTTGCCTTGTTTTCTTAAATTTCAAATATGTATATATGTTTCCATTTTTGACTAAGCGACCCAAAATCTGTTAGAAATGTCTACTAGCCTTATCGTGGAGAAAATTTTCATGTCAGGCAGGGTTGTATGAAATTGGGCCGATTTCGCTTATTTTTATTTTAAACGAAGAAGGGATTTTATTCATAAAATGTTTGTTATAAATGTCTTAATTTTAAGTGTGAAGTTTTATTCGTAAACTTAGAAAATAAGAAATGGTTTCACTGTTAAGACACTTAAGATGCGTTTGTTGTTGGATATAGTGCCAAAAACAGAATAAATATTATATGCAGATATTGTCTTCCCAGATAGCGCATATTCAATTCTGCCTAAATTACAACACTGAAGTGAGTTAAAATGAAAATAAAAGAGCACAAATTTCTATGTAAAGCAAAACTCTCTGGAAATCCTACGAGACACCTTCCGGTCATATGACCGGTTATCTAAATGGGAGATCTGCAATCTTTTGGCATCATATTTTACATCAGAATTGAAGGGATTTCTAAAAAATCTGACCAGTTCTTTTGTGTAACTGTGATTTTGCATCCCTTGTCAGCATATGGCCTCGGTAGATGTTAACGTAAGGTCGTTGTTTTACTGCCTTAAAATTGAAGGGAAATTTTTACAGCGTTTTTGATGTGTATTGGTTTCTATTTGAGTGTATTGAGAATCGTTCAGTCTGAAAAGGCCTTATAAGAAAGACAATAGGTTTGTTCGTCGAAAATCCAGCGAGAATTATCACTCAAAATATCAAATAGTACGAAAAAGTGCTGCCAAATTCTCTCTCACGTAGAGAAACATGCAATTTTCTGTACGAACGCAAATTTGCAAGCTTTTCGGCCAGCTAGTGTCCACGGTTGCATTTCAAACCAAAAAAATTTGTATAGATTTTTTAAAATTTTTTCAGAGGGGCAAAAAACATGATCTACGTGTATATATCTTGTCAGTCCGACTTTCTTGAACATACGTTTCAATTTCTTTGTCGGGTTTACTACAGTATATTTTGCTTAGCTGCACATCCCTCTTTGCACGAAAAACTTGTGCACCTAACCGAAAAAAGCACTTAAGCGAATTTTCTTTACTACTTCAATGAGGAAGGTATCCGAATCCCTATGAAACCAAATAATGGAGAAGCACTTATAACGTAGAAAATAATGCAAGCGAAATTTTTTTTCGAATGGTATCTTATTATCTATATAACTAGACAAATTGATAGTCATTTAAGTT